AAATTAAAAAAAAATCAACTTATTCACTTGTTTTTTTTACAACAAATGTTAAAGGTCCTTACGAAGTTTTTCAATAGAATGTACTATTATTTTAAAATTCGATTTCATTGAAAAAAATTTCTCGATTTTTTTCCGATTTTAGAATTTTTGCAATGAGGTCTCGTAAAATTTTAGCCATTTTAAAAAATTAATAATCCTTTGACTTTAGTGTGACCGCGTTAAATTATTTCGACATCATCTATTCAGTTTCGCCACCACATAAATCGGTACTACACTTCAATGTAACCAGCCTTCAATTGCAGTTCTCAAGAAATCGATAAAGTTAATCAAACTGAAAAAACGTTCGTACACGGTAAAACATTGATTTTTGTGTTCATAGTATATCCTCTTCTGAAATGATGTATATATATATATATATATATATATATATATATATATATATATATATATATATATATATATATATATATATATATATATATAGTCGTATAGTTCCACTTACCCAATAAATACATGAAATCTATAAATAACATATTTATACTTTGTCGATTTATACTCTCCAAACAGACTAAACAACATATAAAAATTAAAAAAAACACTATAAATGTACTTCGAAAATAGGAAGTCAAAATGGAAAAAAATCATGCAAAATAAAACATTGCTATTGTACATTTCAAAAGTCAAAATGAAAATGTTCAAATTTCAGATTTTACGTGATTTTTTGGGTTTTATCCTTATCTGCTAAGAGGCAATTCCGAATTTGTCCAAATCATTAAAATCAGATCAGCGGTTCTTGAGTTATAAGCGTAGTAACTGGCACAACTTTCTTTTATATATGTCAATAGATATAGATTAAAAAGTAGGCGTGGTCAGTTCCTCAGCCCCAAATTAATACTTAGGGTTGGATGGAAAGTCAATAGTATCTCGTGTAATAATTTTCAAACCTATATCTTCATTATTTTGGCAAATATAAGGATGGATGGGCGTAAAGGTAGGCGTGGTCAATATTTTCAAACCTAACTCGGGGTATGACGAACGTTTGTACAAAAAATTATGCAAATCGTTCCAGCCGTTCTCAACTGATTCCATTACCAATGAACAACAATTGATTTTTATATAAATAGAAGATTTATATCATATTTATTTAGGTCCGATACGAAATGGACAATATTGACCCATTCTCTCCAAACCCACTCCATAGAGGGTCAAGAGTTTAAAAATTCATGGCAGAAGTCAAAATACTTTGTTAGTCGTTGTTGTGTTTTTTTTTTTTTTTTTTTTTTTTTTTTTTTTTTTTTTTTTTGAAATCTGAATGTAAGATAAAGAAAATGAGATTATCCCACTACGATGTTAAATTGTGATCTTTCCAAGCAAACAAAAAATTACCGATACAGCTGTATAGGGGTCATAGCAAAACGCGGATCTACTCCTTTCATTTGGCTGTAATACGCCCAATAAGAATTCGAAATTCAAATGTATTGCTTAGTAATTTATTTTATCAATCAGTAAAAAAACGGAGTATTAAGGAATACACATAATGGTAGATCGAATTAAACATTTAGTAAGAAGATAATTCATATCCATTATATGGAGGCCTGTGCGCAATAGTGAGTAATAATGACATTGTGTAACATCCACTCTGGGGGTTGGGAAATTTTAAGTGAATAGTATTTGGCTAGTAGATCAAAACCCAAAAGGGCTTTGGGTTCGCAGGCCAAACTTTTTTCGAGTTCATTATATATAGCCCTAACCATACAAATTGGCCTCAAATATTTTACTCTAAACTTTGCAAAATTTGCGATAAAGTTTTAAATTTGATGCAGTCTTAGGAGTTACATGTAGAATCATTTGTACAAAATATGGGTCATGTCGGTTTACGATATAGCCCACATGTAAGGGTATACCACGATTTCAAGTATTTTTTATATCCAAGCCATATTTTTCAAACTTCTAATTTTAGGAGAAGAAAACGTCTTTTCGAAAACTTATAAGTATGGGTCCACGTTTTGATATAACCCTCATATGAAGGTATCCCATGATTTCAGTTATTTCCGGGGTCTTGGTTGCATTTTTTCAATTGACTTTACCCTTATTTGGCTTCCGCGCAGAACATTTTTCGAAAGATTTCCAAGTAGCACCCATATAAAGGTACCTCCTGATTTTACCTATTTCGAGGGTCTCGACCATATTTCCCAATCGATTTGGCTAAAAACGTGTATTTAGACTACTTTGGGAGTAAAGAACCATCTTACAGAAAAAAATTCAATAGATGTACATATTTTGGTATAGTCTTCATAAAACAGTACCTCCCAGGTCCATCGATAGTGATGTTTACCGATTGGCGGACAAAGGGACAATGCAAACAATGCAAATTCCAAATTACAGCTCATATGAATTTCTAACTCTCAAATTAAACCCATAACCCCGGGCTGGCAACGCGATCCGGGCCAGCTAGTATGTTATAAAAAAGCTTAACATAAAAATGGGAAATGTAGCAATACATGTGATTCTAACATTATGTCTATACTAACCTTTCCATTATATTGACGTGATCTATTACTCTTATAGTATGCTAAATTTCGTACAATTATATTACACATTTCCAAACCACCTCCATATCTCAATATCAAATTTGAGGATTCCAGGCCTATACCTTCATCCAATACCAAATGTAGTACCATTTAGTATTTTTCGTTTAATATTTTCACTTCCGAAACCACTTCCATATGTCCAGGCTACACATGAGCAGCGACCCCAATGCCAAATTTCAGATATCAAACACAATATGTTCACCCAAATAGCAAATTGTACCAAATATAGTACTTTTTAGTACTTTCGATACACTCGTGGCATACATTTCCAAAACCACCTCTTTATAACAAACCACTACCAACAGGGAAATTTCCCCAATTCCAGCTTCATCCGTTCACCCTAAACCAAACTGTTAGTACGATGTATGAAGTGTTGTTTGGAAATGTTGTCCAAGAAATAATAAGTTACTTTTGGGTAGCGGACACTTGCTAGTCTATTATTACATCTTACAAAAAAGTAAGCTCAAGTGACTCAAACCTTGTGTTAATGAGAAGAGAATCCAACCTCACTCTTCTATTGCCAATACTATTCTTTGTATTTGGCTCGAAGTACCAAATATAAAATGTGAGAAAAGAAAGAACAACCTTATTCTTTGGATGTAGTTTCAATTCTCGATCCGGCTCGAAGGACCAATGTAAATGAGAAGAGAAACACAATTCAGTGGTTAGGGCATAGACAAATTAAGATATAGACAACGAAAAGTTAGTTTGGTCTTTTTTTCCAGGTGGCTCTCATCATGTTTTGCATAGTCAACATGCTCATTTACGCGTTCAAGCCACTCGACTTCGAAAACACATTTCATCATTTTTCAAGAATTTCACTTGATTATTCCGGAATTTTTTGATGTCATCTCGTAATTTTCACATTTATTTTATTATGGAACAATTTCCAACTGACAAATATCCTATAGTTTTTGTTATTTTTAACGTTTTAGAATTGAGTGACTTCAATATTCCCACTCAAACCCCTGAAACGATATAGACGACATCTGCTGATTCGATTTTTTTCGAAGATAAACGGTGAGAGCATTTCGTTGTCTATATTTTCATTTGTCTATGGTTAGGGTGTCATTTCAGTTCTAGTTCTACTGCTTAAACTAATCTAACTTAGCCTAATAGCATAGACAAATAAATGTATAGACTAAAAAGTTGTCTCATCTGTTATCTTCGAAAAAAGTGCTTCAATAGATGGCGTTCATGCTGTGAGAGAGCTTAAGACCATTCACTCAATTTCCTCAAAATACAAAATATTGAAAATTTTTATGATTTATTATTATTTATCAATTGAAAATTAAACAGTGACTTTGTTTACATTTACATTACACAACAATGTCGTAAAATATAAAAATATAGGACTTAAAAAGCTAAGAAATGAATAAATTGTTTTCAAAGTCGAGTGACTTCACTGGCCTTAAGTGACTTTACTGGCCCAAGATCAACCATAGTGACATCTGCCGGAAGGGGTAAATTTTGAAACTTTTTAGTCTATACCTCTATTTGTCTATGCTAATAGCAGCCACACAATTATTGTTATCTATTCTAATATTGAATGGAGAACATTGCAGGGCTGCTTGTCATTTCATTCGAGTGGTCTTGTAACCTTTATTATCTCACACATTATCGTATGCGTCAGCGCACAAGATCACCGAAATGTTCACATGTGATATTTTATGGCGGCTGAGAAATGTGTAATTTTAAAATATTTACTATCTATTGTTAGATTTTCCCAGCGTCTCAAGCGCACTCAAAAGTATGTACAAAGTATTTTGTACACCTTGTGTTGATGCTATGGATATTTGACCCCTTCCGTGCTATAATACCATCCCAATTGAAAGAAATAAGTAAAAACATTGGAAGCGATTTTGGCTGTTTTCAAGTTGGTTTTTTATTTTTTATTCATTACCGTTACTGATACAAACATTTAGTAAAGTGTATTTTTTTAATTTAAGAATAAATAGATATGTATATGTTTATAAATATATATGTATATATTCGTAAGTATATATAGTGTAGGTATTGTATTTCGTATAAATATAAATATAATAGTTGTTGTTGTGAATAAAATTACAAAAAAGAAAAAGAAACATTAACACTTGTTGAATTCAATATAACAATTAACACTTTTTATTTTGTTGTATAAATATATATATATTTTTTTTTGTTTTTTTTTTCGTATGAAATCAAACGGAACAAATGAAAATTGCAACATATTATGGATAATTAATTAGAATTATTTCCATTACAATATTAATAACGATAAAAATATTAAATGATTATAAACTGTAGTAAAATTTAATTTACTATAAATTGGTAATTATATTTTCTTTTTAAATAGAATTGTTTTTTTTTTCTTTCGTGGTGTTACAAATCGTTTTTTGAAAAACATTAAATGTTGTTGTTTTTGTCACAAAGAGTGTTACAAATAAAAGAGAGTTTGAGAGAGACTTTTGAGTTAAAAAAAAAAACAATTTTATTTTTGTGGGAGAGCAGATTTCGTTGGTGTTTCTGTTAAGATTCTTTCTCTTTATTTTTGTTGTGTTAATGTTTTCGTTAACAAACTAGGCTTCTTTGATTTTATTGATTTTATCTTTCTTTCAGACGATTCTACAACAGAGATGAAGATGATTGTTTTGTGTTGTTGTTGTTGTTTATAAGTGGTGGTGGTGTATTTGTTGTTGTTGATTTTACACATTAGATACATTCCGATACCATTTTTTGGGGTTTTCAAGTGTTTTTGTTAAAAATAAAAACAAATAAAAAAAAACGGAAAATAATAAAAAACAAATATGTTGTGTTTTTGTTGTTGTTTTGTAAAAGTAACTCATTAAAAATAGTTGTATATATCAAATAATTAATAACTTATCTGGGGCATTACATAATGTTGTTATAATTCAAACAACAGCGAAGACATTTACATTTTCTAAAAAAATAGTTGGTTGATTTTACATTTTTGCTATTTGGTTCTCCATGATGCATCGGCGAACTACGATCGCCGCTGACTACAAACGGCCTAAGCCTGTTTAGAGGGGGCCAAAGAGATAGACAGCTGGATGGTTGTCGGCAGTGTTGCCCAAGAATTCGGCGTAGAGTTCCTGATAACGGTCCAAATTGAGACCGCCTACCTTCTTATCGTTATCCTGTAAAAGTGCGAAAAAAAAAATAAGGGAATAGAAGATAAATGTGCTCGACAATGGTTGCAATAAATTGTTGATTAGTTCTACAAACAGATATAACCAGTTATACGGGTGATTGACGTCACACCATAACGTTGTTAGTTATTACGATGTTTATTACTATGTAGATAAACGTAAGGATCGATCCACGGATTGCTTTTCCGGTTCCATTGTGGGTGTTTGAGTGTCTGAGTATTCTCTCCTGTCCCCAGGATGAATCATAGCATGAAGCACTATACAATTGCAATTATCGTATGCGATACATTGTGATCGAAAAGTAAATTTGAAATTTTCCAATCTGCCGGTGATTGTTATTGATCATTAGATCATTAAAATTGGCCTAAAGAGAGCGCAAGCCATGTATCACGATAGATATATTTCTTTATATAATATTTTATAAAATTGTTTTAAACTTGCCACTCTCAAGTCATACATTTTTTGAACTACGCTATTCTTTAAATATATTTTTGGTGAAATTTCAGATTTAGCTATAGTTCCCATATATATGTTTCATCCGATTTGGTGTTTTAATCCCTCACAAGCGCAGTATGCATTCCACAACAATGATCTTTGGTACCAGATATCAGATACATGAGAGCAATACCTTTGCCAAATTTTATCAAGATCGGTTCAGATTTGGATATAGGTCACATATACATCTTCAATCTTTGGTACATCCGGACTAATTCAGTCAAGAAGCAAGTACATCAAATTTGGGGAAAATCGGTTCAGATATGGCTATACTCCTATATATATGTTTCATCCAATTTGGTGTTTTAGTCCTTCACATTCGTAATATGCATTCGACAACAATGATATTTGGTACCAGATATTTTATAAAGCTCGGAAATACCCTTGCTAAATTTTATCGAGAACGTCTAAGATTTGGATATATATATATATATCCTTAATCCGATTTCCGGATTATTGTGCAAAAAATGGCCAATATCAGCCCAAATGGAGTGAATTTCGGCTCTGATATATATATTTTTTAATATAATCCTTGTCCAAGTGATATCATGCACTCTATAGCAAACTATAACTTCTCAATTGAACGGAATTTTTATTTTTTATACTCTCCGAATTGAATAGAGGCGGAATCCTGTGGGTTTGGCAAGTGCATTCATGTTCGGCCCTGTTACGGTTGTCGTCGTCGCAAAATGTAGCCGAGGCGACCATAACGGTATTAAGGTTGTCGTTTTTGTCGATAGCGATGAGTCATTTCTATTGTCATTGTCGATACAACAGTTGACGTGAGGTCATATTTTGAGAATATCTGGCGCCGTAAACAATTGTGACGTCATTGTATTTTTTAGTCGAAGTTTATATTGAAACCTTTTTGTATTTGATATTTGACCATTAAAATAACAAGAGCAAAATAATTTGGAAATACTGAAACCATTTTCCGACACTGAGACCTAAGATCCAATACAAAATACTTTTGTGAAGATTTAAGTGTTGTTAGGATTTTGTTTGAATCAATTGAACGGAATTTTTATTTGTGAAATGCATTAATATCCGCAAAACCATCAAAATTCTCGATGCCTGGAACAGATTTTTTCTCTAGTTTCCCTTCCCCAGAAAAGTGAGTTTTAGTGCACATTTTATAGCTGCATCCAAAATCTGTAATTGTAATCAATTCCTATTCCATTGCTTTTTCATTTGCCAGAAGTGTGTGAAACAAAAACTAGGACATCTTGTGTGTGTGTGTGTGTTTTTTTTTTTTTTTTAATAACACTCTCCTTTTCTCTGCCACTCTTTTCGTTGAATCTATGCTACTATAGAAATGTCAATTTCAACTACAGAAGGGGAAACTGTAGTTCTAAGACTTCTCTTGCTGCCATCCAAAAATTTTTTGCCGGCGGATTCAATTCAAAGAGAAGATAATACTAACAAATCACGTTCATTTTCACCAAAAAGTGTGTGAATTAATTTACCAGATAATTTCGAAATTTCAAAAACTTTCTGATCACAATATACCACAGAGCTAAAATTGTTCCAATTCCAACAATTCTGATTTAATATCTTCGTGATGTTTAATGCGGATGTTGTTTAGTGCAGCATTGCATTGCATTGCGGCGGGATCATTGGTTAGGTGTTACGAATAATTAGTAATGTTATTTTCGTCTAATATCTACCATAAATGTTATTTCAAAGTTAACGTAAAGCATCGGATGTTACTTTCCCACTCTTTGGTTGTATTTGTAAAAATAATTAATTACTACAGCATTGATTGTAGTTTCAATAAAATTTGAATTGTTATGTGTTAATGATAAAATTTTCAAATATGAGAACAAAAGTTTCAAAGTTTAGCATCAATTTATTTAGATGTTCGATTATTGTATGTTTTGTCTGCGGGTTAGATCTACCAAAAATTCCTCTGCCCAAAATTATAATATTCCTATTTGTTAAAATGGCATGTCGTATGACGTATTTTTATTAGTAATCTGGTAGTACCCCATAATGGATATGTGAAAAATTAATAGTTTTTTTTTAGGACTGGGAAGAGCTCTTGGCTTCGCATTTTAGTAGCGGACAACAGTTACAGCAGTTCGGTCCCAAAAAAGTATCGGACATCGAAACTGTGAATTTATTTGTGTTACGAATAAAAATCAAAATATGTTAAGTAAAGATTAGAATTTTTTAATATTTAAATGAAAGACAAAAAATCAGTCTTTGGCTTTGGAAAGTTTACACTGAAATAATTATGACCCCATTTGCCCGTTAATTTCAAAAAACAAAACCTTTTCACCTATTTCGCTTACGTTCAAGAGGGATTCAAAAGCTTTGTCAATGGGAGCGACATCTTCAATAGCCATTCTTGTAATGCAATTGTAACGGTATTCCTCAATACCAACAATGCCGTCACTGTTGATGTCAAGAATTTTGAAATTGGATTCAATAAATGCTTTCATGGCCTGAAATTAAATAAAAGAAAGGTAAAAAATAAATTCGAAAATGTTGATAAACAGAGGATGACTATCCTTGTCTAGTCAATCAATCAATCAATTTCATCGCCGCTTCCAATTTTAACGTACCTGAGGAAATTCGCTATATTTCTTTCCAACGCAGGTCTTACGCACGGCATCTTTGAATTCCTTATTGGAAATTTTTCCATCCTACAGAAGAATTGGGGTATGGGCGTACAATAGAATATTGATATAAAACAAAATTATTCACATATTTATCATCATTTTTTGTTTTGTTGTTTTCTTTTTTTATAACTTGCAACACAAAAAATAAATCAAAGCATTATCTTAAATATATTTTTGGGTTACCTTGTCGTCGTCGGCAATTTCGGAAATTTCAACCCACAAGTTCTTCATCAGTTTCTTGTACTCGGCCAAACGATTGGCACTGCAGTCGCCTTTGCCTTCCACTACACAGGCTCTCACGGCCATGCATTGGAAATCGTTTTCGTCGAGCACGCCATTGTTGTCGATATCTGGGGAAGGTAAGCAATTTGCAGGATTATAGCTAGAATTCATGCTTCAAAACAACATACATGGAGGACAAAACGAACGTGACTAATGAAGGGCGCATTTCAAAAATTTCCAATAAAAAATCGGATTCGTTAAAAGGTCCCTTCTTTCAATCACTGGCAACTCTTCCTTTTTGACTACCCGGTGATTTATGTTTGGGCAAGCAATTTTATAACATAATTATCGCAAACCTAATTGTTTGGTTTTTCGGCACTCCTTTAATAATTCTCCTTGACTCATAACTAAGCTTTTCGCTTCTTTTACATGATAGATCCTTGGAACTAGTAAGTTTAAGAAGGTGAAAACTCTACTTTATATAAATTATCAAATGATGTTCCCCCCATCAATTGTGGTAACTTGGTGCTGCACAATTACTAACTGTTCCAATAAAAATCACTCAGAAACTACTTCTAAGAGATTCAACCATCTCACGCACAAATTTTACAAAAACTTTTCAAATGTCGTTCAGTAAAATTCAGCAAGGAAAGAAAATAGTTATATTACACTAGCTGACCCGGAAAACATTGCCTTGCTCTATAATTTCTCCACTGAGATACCTATTATACATTGGGCTTGTTTATTCCAGCAAAATATTTATGGAATTGCAATAAAGATGGCTTTCGAATTCACCTTTTGCCTTACGGTCGTTATATAAAAAGCAATTAATATCCATAGGCGCTCAGTTAATCGTCTCGAATCATTTTGTCGGTCTTGGGGTTGCAGCACGAACCTGCACAATATAGGCACGTCTCCATTCAGTTATTTCTGCATGTTCCTCTTGCGTTTGAGAATTTCGGATATTCTGGCAAATTATACCACGGCGTTGGACGACGTCCACCAACGTTTGACGGTTTTATAAGAAGCATTTGACTTAATTAATCGTATTCAATAGAATATTCTCTACAACTAATTTATTTACCTATATTTTTCTATAAAAAATTTTAACTCTTAAATATAGCTTCGAGTTTGCATTGATTGTAGGGTGATATGCGATATACAACAATGCTGTTTGTATGAAAATGCTAGAAATATATCACAATTGACCAAACTGCTGGCCGAAGTTCATTAATTTAGTCGCAGTGTTCTAATTTTGGAGGCACAACTTGTTGAATCGAACCGAATCGAACCATTTTTTTAATTGAAAAAAGGGTTTTGATTCGTTTCAAAAGATTTTCTTAGACAATGGTTTGGTTCCCGGTTCGATTCATTTACAAAAATAGCGGCTCAGTTCGGAGTCGGTTTGCAGCCCAGGTTTATATACAAAATATTTACTCGGGTTAACCGTAATAATTTACCAATCACAATATGTTAAGCGTATGTGTCCCATATTTAGATTTATTGTGATCCCGGATAAAGATTTTGTATCTAAACGTACTTTAAGGTTTTTATGATTTGTTTCCTCTCTGAATATAATTCTTTGTTTGTTTGTTTATAATTGGCAATATTTATTAGCTATACAATAAAATTAAATAACAATTTAAAAAATAGCTGGCGTATGTATGTATGTCTGGGACACCTGTAAAGTGACACTAAATTAATGGAACGTGCAATTCCCAAATAATTCAATAAAAGCGCGCACACAAACGTCGAAACCACCCATCCGACTACAATTCACTTTGATGAGCGACACAACAGAATTTGTTCAACAATTCTAATAGGCGGCAAACAACGACAACAACAACAGAAAATTCGCAATTTTTTGACGAACACAGGGAGGCTTTTCCTTCGGAGCTAGTGTTTGTTTGAAAAATTATTCAATTAATTATCTCGTGAATATGATGTGGTGTGATGGCAGCTGCCTGTGGACTCGCCCCAAAACAGAGGGACACATGGAGGTGGTTGGTTCGATGGTTGTTGGTGGACAGTTGAATGGATGGACGAGTTTTGTTTTATGCCACTTCTTGCCTTCTTCTATGTCTGTTTGCTCGTTCATTTGTTTTGTTCCGATTTAAGAAATATTAAAAATAGGTTCTTGTAGCACCTTTGTCTGCCGTTACTGAGGAGGGCCTTGAATTATGGGAAATCTGCCTCAAAATAGCCCAGACGGCAGACCACAAATAAACAAGAAGGCAACCAGATGAGAAATGGGTGATTTTGGCAAAGATTCTCTGACTTTGCCTAAAGAATGTTGTAATTTGTCTTCATTCCGCTGTCGAATAAATGTTGCCGCGTGCTGTGTGATCTTTGCAAACGAATCTCTAAAAGGTGGCGCATTACATTTCACATAAAAATTATACAAAATGACCGTGTAAAGATTACATTCTATGCAATGGCCAATGTTGCTGTTGCTGCTGCTGCTGCTGCTGCTGATGGTGGTGGCTGTGGTGATGGCTGGCGCTGGCCGGCCCAGTACCGCTGACATTGACAATATATGTATGACTTTTGCATTCTATACTTAGTAATTTTTCAATCAAAGCGATCATTTTTTTTTCGTTTTACTTCTTTTGGTTAAATCTTTGTAATATTTTTTGTTTGTTTTTAATGTAGCCATGAATACATTCGGGTTGCAACAATAGAATTTTGGCTAGAATTCATTTGCCCGGGATGGCCTGTTTGTGAGGTAATGATCTTGCCTCATTCACATACATACATATGGACTGATGTCTGTATGCTGTTTTATTAACCTGGTTGTGCAGATTCATGCACATCAAATCTTAATAGAATATGACCTCAATCAATAATGCATAAACAATATAAAATGGGCTCTCTAGAAGCTGTTAAATCGTTGAATCCTTAGTTCGGCGCTGCCTACACTTCTGCCATAGCCTCAACAAGTGATGATGGTCCAGAATGATGCATCGAACATACTTGCCAGCCTCACCGAGACAATAAATTATGAATTAAATGCACTACCAATCCGATGGATATGTGAGTGAAATAGTCAAGACAACGATTCGATTGGTGCAAAGTTTTCAAAACAACCTGCACACATTCATATCAAAGGCCATATAATATGGGAGGCCAACGGAATTTTCACATTCATGAGCGATTAGTTCAACCAAAGGCATAAAACTATAAAGATGGGACAAAATGCATATGGTCATTGTAGTTTTCTACCAATTCGAAATCACCAAAAAATGGCGTGAAAACGGAAAGTAAAGCATTAGAAACGATATATATGGTCGAAAAATATATATTCCAATAAATATATAAAAACGTGAAAACGTGTTAAATTGCAACATAATGCTATGTCATGATGTGGTGACAAAACATAGTTTCTCACTACCAACGCCATCCATCGAGGAAGGGCAACAATGAAACGTCCCATCTTATTTTAATACATTTCTTTGGTTTAACCCTGTAATGAGCAAATTAGATTGCATTTGAGATGAGGAGTTCATCTTAATTCAGAGAGAACCGAATGCTATGGGATACACAGATGCATGACGGATTCTTCGGAATCAAGCACAAATTAGATCTCGATCATTTTTACCGAGTAAATGTTGTCAGTAGGAATTGTTAAACTCTCAAGAAGCTCAGTAATGTAAATTACATTGCCAACTCACTCTCATTTACTGGACTTTGGGGTATCGAACCGTATTTTTTTGTAATAATTTGTACAAATTACTGGATTATCGGACAAATCTATTATGATCTAGACCACTCACTCATCACTCATTGCGAAAAAAATATTAACATAATTGAAATGATATTGAGTTTTGAGACTGGCAAATAAAAGATTCGTGTTAGATTCCAAGGACTCGTTGTTTGTTTTTGTGCTTTAGACCCCAACGCTACCGTATGACTTGTACTTTTAGCTCACAACAACAACATTACCCACCGATTATTTTTTGTATGTATATATTATGAATGTATATTCATTTTCTTTTCAACATACGATTCGAGATCTAGAACATACCATCCAAGTGTAATGACATATTATTTATAAATCAGTAATCAGATAACAATGTGCCATTTAAATTAAACTAGAAGGTCTTTCGGCTAATTATTTTTACCCTTCCTTTCTCTACTCCTCCTCTTGCTTTTGCGCTCTTTCAGATTGGACAACCTCTTTTCACCTTGTACCATTTGTTTTATATATGTTGTCTAATGTGGTATCTTATTTCAGAATTTCGTCATTACAGTAAAGTAAACCTAATAACTCTTTGATTTTTTGTTTGCGTGTTTTGTCTTCTCAGTTCAGTATGGCTACGTTTATTACTACATGATATTTGACCAATAACGGACAGTTGATGAATATTTTAATCGTCCGCTAATTGAATAAAAGTAACAACAAAAATTTAACTCAACTAGTTCAGTGGCTCTTTTGAGTGAATCGTTAAATTAAACTATATACGACGTTCGACATAAACGACACAAAACCGAAGAACGCAAATATTTGTGATTCCAAAGCACAAAAACGATGCACAATTACAAAGACTCCTGAACTTTCTTACGATGGTCATGTCAAACCAAAACATTTACATGACACGCGACATTTTTACAGAGTGGGCGATAAGAGATCGGTATTGTAGATCGCCTACAATACCTTGAGGCCAGGAAAATGTTGGGCTACGGTGTAACAAATATATAACGTAATATTTTGACATCTAATATATGTTCTAATATTCAGAAGCTGTAAGAATCTTCTTTTTGCAATTTTTTTCGACATCATAAAGGAATCATCTATAAAAAAGAAATCGGTACGACCTCACTAATCAAAGAGTATTTTTTCTACTCTTCTTCCGCTGCAGCTTAATATATAGTAATACATGGTTTTCAAATTTGCGTCGATTTTTGAAAAATGCCTTTTTTCAGTTATGACGCTCTTTGAATAAATGGACGGGATATGCATGCAGAACTTGGTGAAATGTGTTGCCTGGAAAATCCTTTAGACATATTATTCTCACTTTACTCGGTGTTCGTTTTGTTTTCAGCACATGGAGATCGAGACATACTTTTAAATCTAAAATACTACATTTCGCGTATTTTCTTTCTTTTTCTTTTATTTTAAATATAATTCTAAGATCAAAAATCTTCCCCCCTGCGTTTACATATAAAATTTCCACCTCTGTTAACACTGTGATTGGTCAATTATCAGTACTAATTTAGTAATTTTTTTTATGTAAAAGTACCTTAATTCAATAATACAGAAGTACGTTTAGATTTACGAACTGCAATCGATCCCCATAGCGCATACGTCTAATAATATCCACTGGATTTACTTGACGTATACGTTAAGGAATTGACATTTGCAATCGGATGGATAAAGAGTGCTAATCGCGTTTTAAGTAAATATTCAATATTTTAAGGTCTAAACGTGCTTTAAGTAAACATTCAATACCGAGTTTAATTTTTTCAATATACATAGTAAAATTTAAAAAAAATCACAATAGTATTATTTTTGTCGATAAAAGCTATTGGTACATGCTTTCCACTACAGCTAGTCTATTCTAGAAGCAATCCAATCAACATGCAATACATTCTCATTTTTCAAAGATTGACTGGCGGTACTAAAATGCAATGCGAGCCATAGCAATAATCCGGATACACGAACTTTCGACCCAAATCGTTGAAGCTTTCTATTATTATTAAAGCAGGAAACGCACTATAAACAAATCGGCGGAAGTTGGGTATTTAGCCCAATTTTTGCTTTGGTGGCTTATTTTAACATGCACAAGCACCTCCATTATATCCACACTCTTGTGGCTATTGAAATTTTCGAAATGTTCGTCGCGGAAAAATTAAATTGAAATGAGTTTTTTTCCATCCACGAGATCCGCAAACCTAGGACTCATTAATATTTTTCAATTCCCCCTTCAACAACTTCAACTCGGCTCGAAGTCCTTTCAAAATTCCATGAGGATGTGGTATATGAGACACATAAACGACGTACATACAGACATATATGTAAGTGTAGTGCAGGCGGCGGGCGGAGCTTAACTTACCGTACATATACCGAACAACAAAATCGACACGGTTATCCCAAGAGTAAGCCATTGTGAGAATTTATATGGAATTCTTTTTTAACACAATTTTATCTAAAATAAATGAAAAATTATTGGTTTGGTTTCAATTGAATCGAAGTGAGATCTGGGTGTAATCCCAAGATTGGATTTGCCTGTATTCCAACTTCACAGTTTTTCAATATTCTTTCACATTCACTTTAGAGAAGTTCTATGTTTCTTTTTATTTATTTATTTATTTTTTTTTTTTTTTTTCAATAATTTTGCGCTTCTTTTCTTCAGCAGGATTTTTATATAAAGCGTTTAAAGTTTCTTCACTTGATTTCTATTTGAAATTTATTTATTTTTCATCTTTTGCTTATTTCTCTAGTTCCCGCTAACTACCTGAGGACCCGTTCGCTTCTGATTGACAAACTGTATTTTGGTCAGCAAGAGAACTAGAGACGGTTAATTCGCCTGCCTACAACGCCAGACAAAAGTTCGCCCTTGCACCAGATGCAGCCGAAGTAAATGTATCGCAACACACCCGATCGGCCCGTCGAACATTGTTGAGCAACAACAAGACCTACCCAAATAACTACCTATTTGCGGGCCTCGGCCCGACGCTGATCGGCAACCACTGGCCAGCCGCTGCCATAGTAAAACGACGTTTGTCGTCTGCACTAAATGCTAATTAGAGTAGTACGAGGTATAAACGAGTACTAGACAATGCTGGCTGCCATAGGCTCAGTACTAAATTCAGACAATAGCAGCCCGCCTTGTATGGCGGGGCACGGGCCGGGCACAGGTTACCATTGAACATGAATAGGTGGCAATCAGTTCAAATTTTCGACATGGCTGTTGTGATGTGCTGGTGCCTGTTACGACAAACACTTAACATCGTCGTACGCAAATTTGTATCTTTGCTGATGTCTGTCTGTCTGTCTGTCTGTATGTCGATCCGTTCGCCCGATCATCAGGTCCGAGGGAATGTATTGGCACAAGCTTAAATGTAAACAATTTTCACAAACGAACGGCAAGTGAATTTACACAAAAACGCTTACATCCAAACAAACAAGCATTCTTTTTTCTGCATTTCGAATGCAGATTCGATTTGAACATTAGTTGATTGTTTTGGCCGATTCCTGGTAATCTTGTATAAACAAAAGAATTTTATTCACGTTTCTTCATTTTATTTACTTGCGAAGCAACCTTCGCTTGACAACCAGCCTCTTCTTCTAGTGCGGATACACAAAAAATGCATTATTTCTGCGTAAACATTGTATCTACAAATAAAAGGACGGTCAAATCACGTTCATCTTGGCGAAATTAAAAAAATATCTATAAATGTTAAAAGAATTTGTTGAATAGTAATTTAACTTAAGTGACTTGAGAGAACCGGAATTATGCTCATATTTTACGAAAATAGGGCATTTTTCCAAAATAAAAGGCAACAAATTGGCTACTAAATAAAAAAAAAACAAGGAAATTGATGAGGATGAAGGATCCAAAGCTACAATCTTCACTGACTTACATCTTTGCAAAAAATGTTGACACAACAAAAGTTGAATTAATCAAGAGCCTGATAACAATTAATATTGATTTTCTTTCAAAATAATTGAAATTGACAAAAAGCTACAACTCTCGATGACAATTATGTTCGGCAAATGGCGTGGGACATTTATACCGAAATATTAGGATGTCTCAGTGCAACAGTCTCTAAACAAATGTGTTCAATTAATTACATTTCCTATTAAAATTCTTGCAGAAATTATTAAATAGTGATTTTTAGAATTCATTAACGTAGCATCAAAAGCTTTCCGCAGGATTCAACATCAAAATGTATAAACATTGAGCACTGAATTTTATTCTATAAACTGCAAGTTCGGGTCGAACTTTGATCACCCTCCACCATTTGGAACGAATTCGGCATTTTTCAAAAAAATAAAATCGCTTAAATCATCAAAATACCATATATAGAGAGGTACTATTATATGAAGGCTATACGAAGACGCGGACTTGCACAGACAATTTTCTGTCTCAGGCTGTAGTATCCATTTCGAACTTCAAATGCCAAATTTGAAACAATTCCGGTGAATAGTATCGCTAAAATCATCAAAATACCGAATATCGGTATCGTTATAAGGGGGCTATACGAAGACGTGGACCTGCAGAGACAATTTTCTTTCATAGGCTGTAGTATCCATTACGAAATTCAAAAACCGAATATCGAGAGGTATTTACATGGCCCATTTTCAATACCAGAAGTCCTGCAGACGTAATTTACATTTGAGTAAAATTTTATCATCCTACTTTATTTCGTTCGTATTTTTAGAAAATGTTCAAATGTACGCGATGAACTAAATACAATGGACTGAAGTATTCCACTTCATCTAATACTAATAAAAATATTGAGATGTGCAAAATTTAAAAATTAAATTAAAAAATGAACATATACGCAATAGGAAAAGATTGGGGTAGCGTTTAAGGGCCTGTACAATTTTTTACATAAACTTCAATATTTACATTATAGGTATTAACAGTAATATCAGTAAGTTTAGAATAGACATTTTTGCCGGGTTTATCTCCAGTGGATTGAGGAATTATTTGACGTACATGCATTGGAATGGTCAAGATAAATGCGCTGGGTTTATTAAATGCGGAAAAATATCCTCAACAATTAGGATTCCGTAGAAACTACAAGCTAGATTACACATGATGTTAGAGTCATATGTAAAGTGACTTTTTTTCACAATTATCTTATAGCCTACTCTGAGTCGTTCCCATTAATTTTTTATCTTAAAAAAGTATGCTATAAAATGTGAAATAAAAATTTCAAACATCTTGTTTAATCGACTTTAATATGAGACTTATATAAGAGTTTTATACAAAACCAAACGAAATTTATATTAATAGAAAAAAATTTGAACTAAGATCTTTAAAACATCCGAAAAGCAAGGCAATAACAACTGAAAAATATTTCTTCTTCTCTTATACGCAAATATGTACCTCATAAGCAGGGTAATAGGTGCATGATGTCATAAGTCCCATTTTTAACAACAAGAACTATTTGAACCAACTCACAGTGTCCTCCTTCGTCAATGCGGTTTCCATTCATCGACCCAATTATAAGGTCTTCACCAAGGTAATCGACCTCATATTCGGATCATGATTTCGATGTTGACTTTCGTGAAATTACTTTGTTTATTTTAAAAGCACTCCACGAATTCTAAAATCTTAAAAAAATAAAAATCGGCCAGTTTCTAAAAAATAATACCAAAAAAAACTTTGTTCAATACACTCCGAGGAGAATCCCTGCGGGACTTTTTTTCAATTGGTTGAGAAAATCGTTAGTTATAAATGCATTATTCTACAACTAACTGCAAATTGGTTGAAAGTCATCTGGAGATCAAAAAGCGAAGTAACCACTACTGGTTGATATTCAGATGACTTTTCAACTAATTTGTAGTTAGTTGAAGAATAATGCATTTATGAACTAACTTCCCTGCGGCACTTTTCTCAACCAGTTAAGAAAATCGTTGGTTGTAAATGCATTATTCTAAAACTAACTACAAATTGGTTAAAAATTCATCTGGAGATCAACCAGTAGTGTTTCATCTCAAGATGACTTTTCAACCAATTTGTAGAATAAGGCATTTATGAACTAACTATAAGTTGGTTGTAAACTCATCTAGAAGTCAACCAATTTGAACGAAAAAACAGCCCTAAAAAACAAAGATGATTGGTTATATGAAACTACTTTGCAATAATTCGCATAATACATTTCCAAAAATACTTCGGTATAAATGCAAGTACAATAATACAAGCTAGTGCTGCTAACCTTAGAAAAACAGTGCAGCCAGGGTATCTGAAAATAGCACTCCTCCTTCAAATAGAAAATAAAGAATTTGATTAACAAAAAAAAATAAAATTATTTTCCCGCAGGGCAATTACTTTTAAGCCAATTTTTAGTCAGTTAAAAAATATGTTAAAAAAGTTCAAAAAGTTATTTTTTTATTTTTATTTATTTATTTATTTTTTTTTTTGTTAATCAAATTCTTTATTTTCTATTTGAAGGAGGAGTGCTATTTTCAGATACCCTGGCTGCACTGTTTTTCTAAGCATATGTACTTGTGTATTAAGGTTAGCAGCACTAGCTTGTATTAATGTACGTTACATTTATATCGAAGTATTTTTGGAATACTACCAATTGGTTGAAAAGTCATCTGGAGATGAATCACTACTGGTTGATCTCCAGATGAATTTTTAACCAATTTGTAGTTAGTTTTAGAATAATGCATTTACAACCAACGATTTTCTTAACTGGTTGAGAAAAGTGCCGCAGGGAAGTTAGTTCATAAATGCATTATTCGTCAACTAACTACAAATTAGTTGAAAAGTCATCTGAATATCAACCAGTAGTGGTTACTTCGCTTTTTGATCTCCAGATGACTTTTCAACCAATTTGCAGTTAGTTGTAGAATAATGCATTTATAACTAACGATTTTCTCAACTAGTTGAAAAAAGTCCCGCAGAGTGGTTTATAGTTAGTTTAAAAGTAACTAGTTTATATTTAGTATCAAAGTAATGCAGGAATGGACAATTGTCCACTGCCTAGCTCATCCCCATGTTAAAAAAGTTAGTTGGCGTAAAGGAAATAAATCAAAAAATAACTAGTTGTGGTTTTTTTAAGCTAATTTTAAATTAGTTTTAAACCAATTTATTTCCCCGCAGGGATTATAGTCAAATCAGTTCCATACATATCCATCACTTTACCGCACACCGCAAAATCACACATATTTGAACATCTCCAAATGAAACATATATAAATTAGATTTTTACAGCGTTACCCAAAATTCGACGTTTTTCACCACACAAGTACAACACATGTATGCATGGCATAATTACAGAAGGTAGAACCATGGTACAATGAAGAGAAGGTAGGTCAACTTTGAAAAAATTGCAAGTATAGAGGTCTACCTGTTTGGCTTGTAATGTCAGAATTAGTATCAAAACAATAAAAAATCAAAAAACTTGTTGCATTTATTTTGAATAAATAATTGAAAAACGCGATAACTGAATGAAAGGTTAGAACTTCTTTTCAAAATCATGTACTATATATCTCTAAAGGATTATTTCGCTACAAAAACTCTAGATTTTGTCAATGTATACGTTGAAATAAACATTTTGAAAACACCCGAATTTGAATATTTTCTGAACAATTTTTTTGTTATTGAAAAGAAAACACATGCATAAACAAATAAAGATGACATATTAAGCCAAGAAAATAAAAAAATTGAAATCATATGGTAGTTCTGCCCTAACTTGAATTCATTGTACCATGGGTAGAACAAAACTACTCCATAAATACAATCTTTTCTTTTGGTGCCCTTATTATGTTAAAACATACACATTTCGTGTATGTGTGTGTATTGTTTTAAATAAAAAATATAATAATCTGAAATTAAT